TGCTACTACTACTACTACTACTACTACTACTACTACTACTACTACTACTTACTACTACTTACTACTACTACTACTTACTACTACTGCTACTACTACTACTACTACTACTACTACTACTACTGGTACTAATACTACTGCTACTGCTACTGCTACCGCTTCTGCTACAGCAACAACAACAACAACGACAACGACAACAACACCACAACCGCAGCCACAACCACCCACCAGCACTACCACCACGACGACCCGAGCCACACTAGCCCCGTCCGCGGCTGGCCCCATTGTGGTTGGACAAGCAATAGCACCAGCACCAGCAGCACGAGAAGCGACTGCAGCAGCAGCAGCAGCAGAAACAGCTACTCATCGTTTCTCCTGGGGGGTGAGGCGTGCGGTGGAGGTGCCGGGGTGAGGACGCGCACCCCCTGCACCCCCACCCTGTCCAGTACACTGGCGGATCATAAGTTCGTCCAATGTGTAGTTAATTATCTCTACTCTTACTAAGCATAGTTGCTCCTGACACTTCTTCTTGTGAGCATGAAAGCAAGAGCACGTGATAGCGAATAAAACCCCAAGGGCGGCACAGACACACGCGCTCTCGATTCCTGGGCGAAGGCCGCCACGGACCAGAGCAAGTCCTGTGGTGCAGTTTGCAAGGGCTCACGTCTTCAGGTTCTCTTCGCGTGGCCTTAACTGGGTTCTTGTTAAGCGATTTAATTTAAGTTGCTATATAGTAAGGAAACCATATGATGTAACTTAAGTTAAATTCCTTAACAAGAACCCAGCTAACGTTTAGCGGGCTACACATCCCATATCGGAAACTCTGAAGAGCCTTCCGTGGATGGGCAGGGGTCCGCATCCTGCTGCAGCTTTCGACTTGCTTAGCACACAAGCGGCCATGCCCCTGGATTCCACCACCGATCTAGGACGCCACGCCCTGAGATCAAGAACCAGGAACTGGGGTCCTCCGGAAAGATGAGATCCTCCTCGTTCGTGACATCCTTATGCAAAGGGTTTTTCGGATTGTCTGTGCTCAGGTTCTAGAGCATCCGAGGTGCAATACCATGTCATTCGAAGTGTACGAGCACAATACAGGTAAAACGATCCAAAATACCAGCATCCTCGAGACACCTTAAAGGTACCACCGACCTTGATGTAGGTGTCTCTGTCTGGGGAAACCGAGGAGCTGCCTGTGACGCGGCCACAAAGGCCGAAGGGCCCAGCGCATCGGCCGACGTCGGAGCCGGCTCGGAACTCGTCTCCAGCTCCATCTGGGAATTTCCGAAAATAGGGTTTAGGGTTTAGGGTTTAGGATTTAGGGTACCCTAATATAGTACCCTAAATAGTAGGATCCATATTATAAGGAGCCCAAAATACGGTACCCTAATTTTCGGAACCTCCCATCTGTCGCAACTCCCAGAGATCCCCGCGACCCGGATCCGAGAGCTTCGGCTGTACTAAGATGTTCCGGTTTAGGGTTTAGGGCCTTTAGGGTTCAGGGTCGAAGAGATCCGAGGATCTTTGGGTCCCGCCTTTGAGAGCTGTGCCAGCAGCACCGCCAGCTCCGAAGGGCCCAGCTTCATTCCGCCAGCCCTGCGGTGAGCCCTACAATGCGTTTTGTTGTAGGAGGGAGAGAGGGCTGCGGGAGAGAGGGCTTCAAGAATGTCAAAAAAAAAAACACAAAAGGAAGGCTCCGAGTGCTCTCTTGAAAGGTCTCACGGTCTCACGCCTTGAACCATCTCAGACCGAACGCAGATTGGGACATCAGGGAAGGCAACCACATTTGCCTAGCTCGTCACGGGTTCTGGGTTCTTTCAGAGGACAGGCATGCTTGGAAAAGGAGTCCGCGGGTGCCAGTCGGTGGTAACCTACGTTTTAGTCAATACCCCAACCCAGGGCTGCGCCAGAGACGCTTGACAGGTGAAAGCCGTTCATTCACTACTGAAGGAACTAACTACCTTTAAGTTTGGTGCCTCTTGGGCCTCTGGGTTGTGGGATTGGGGAATAGCTCCGAGTTTGAGTTGTGTGGGCAAAGGGGGATCGAAACAAAAGGCGATCCCCAAAATTCGCACACCGAGAAGCGAAACAAAGGCGATGCTAGAAATAAAGGTTTCGCTGAGGCATGGGTCCAAACTGGAGTCGGGATGGTTCCATCTTGACATGTCGCCTTTCTCGGCGCAAACGCAACTCCAGGAACGAGCTTCCCGAAAGGCCGAGAAAAATGCGCACTGGTCAATACAAGTCATGTTTCGGGCAGCAAGATCCTGCTTCCTTCGGTCTCAATGAATTTGGAGGGACCGTGCCTCGCTTCGGCAGCGTCCCTGAGCTGCTGGCCCAAGCCTTGGCTTTCGGAGAAATCTCGGCCAGTGCCTTCTGGGGTGAAGCATCTAAAAAAAAATTGATAGACATCAAAAAAATTTGACCCTGCGGCCATCAAAAAAAATTGCTAAGCATCAAAAAAATATTTGCAGACAGAGTAGTAGTAGTAGTAGTAGTAGTAGTAGTAGCAGTAGTAGTAGTAGGAGTACTAGTAGTAGTAGTAGTAGTAGTAGTAGTAGTGGTAGTAGTAGTAGTGGTAGTAGTAGTAGTAGTAGTAGTAGTAGTAGTAGACCCTAGTA